CGGACGGGAGCACATACGAGCTGTAGAAAGTGGAGTGTCGTAGAATGAATGAGGAGAAAACGGAGAGTAGAGAAAGAATGAAGACGCGTGCATTGATTGCATGACTGCTGGCTTGACGTTATGTGTGTGTGTTTGTGTGTGTGTGTATGTGTGTGTGCGTGAAGAGCCATGTGAATGAATCCAATCACTTCTCATTTTCTCACTCCTCTAAGCCAGCTTCTTCCTCCTCTTCTTCTCCCCCTCTCTTCCTCCTCCTGAGTTCTCTCTCTCCTCTCCTCTCTGTGTCGCAGTCACAGCTAACTATCTCCATCCCTCACTCGCTCTCCCATTCCTCCTTCTCTCTGTCTTAAGCATGAAGGGGCTGGGAGAGCTCGGCCCTCTCCCTTTCCCTTCTTCCATCTCTCTCTCGTCCTCTTCCTCCTCCTCTCCTCCTCCTCCTCTCCCGCGGCTCGCGCTCGCTGCTGTCTCGCTGGAAGACGAGAAGGAGAAGGAGCAGGAGAAGGAGGAGGAGGAGAGGGAGGGGAGGAAATGGCGATGGGGGCATGCGGCGAGGAGGATCTCTCCCTCTCCCTCTCCCTCTCTTCTTCCTGGCCATCGCTGGGCCCTGTGAATAGGAGCGTCTGGTTCATTTACAGGTACCTGCCATGGCTTTTCATACCCCCCTACCCTACTCTTTTCCCCCCCCCCTTTTTTCCCCCCCCCTCCCCCCGTTGGGGGGGGGAAGGGGGGGGGGGGGGGGTGGAGGGAGGGATGCCTGCATGAGGACATCATGGATGGCAGAGCAGGAATCGGCTGGTTGGATTGACAGATGTTGCAAAGCATGCTTGCAGACAGATGCGTTTGATCCCGGTGCGTGTGTGTGTGTGTGTGTGTGTGAGAGATATATGCACGCGTGTGTGTGTGTGTGAGGATGACGAGAGCTGGTGCTGCACGGCTCGCCGGATGAGCAGTGCAGTCGTTGGCTGTTTTTCGCCGTGTGAACATGTGAAAGAGTGTCGTTCTTCTTTTCCCCCTCCGCTTTGAATCGCGCTCTGAACAAATGTCCTCTAGCTACGCTCGCTGCTCTGACTGGTGCACGGCTGGATTGCATGTTTGTTTTCCTGCATGCATGCCAAAGTGTGTGTGTGTGTGTGTTTGTATGTATGTATGTGAAAAAGGTATGACTGGTGGATTTCTCAACCCCTCCACTGGCCCGTGGCTCTCACATGTCTTTGGCTCCTGTGTTACATGTGGCATGCGTGTGTTTGTGTTTATCAGTGCCTGTGTGTGTGTGTGTGTGTGTGTGTGTGTGTGTGTGTGAGTGATGGCGAGAGTGGGGTCGAATGCCGACAGAGAGGAAGCGGCGCGTGCCGGGCGAGTTTTAACGATGCCGCATGCATGACAAGTTCCACCTTCTTTTTCTGACACCTCTACGGAGGATTGTTTGGCCCGGACCTGTTTAATTCCCCCCCGGCTCTGAGCCTTTGCAGAGTGGCGGCGCCGTACGCTGTCCTGCTTTTGCTCCCCTCGGTTGTGTTGTGACATCACTGCCCGCCGGTTACTCGCAGTGAAATATGTTTCCACTAAAGTTTATCTGATGACCGGGACGTTTGTCGCACCTCTAAATCAGCCGTTCGCAGACTGAAACTAACGTCGAGCTCGGAGATAAGAGCGATTTCAAACGGATTTTATGAATGGATCAAGTACTATGTTACATCTTGAGAAGCCTTTTATGAAAACCTTTGTAGTGATATTATCATGAAAGAGCTGTTTAGCTGCAGAATTAACAACACAACCAGGTGACTTACGCTGTGGACGGTTTAGGACCGGCTCACATGGTTTACACCCACTCCAAATGCTGATAAACCGGTGTCTCTTTGTGGAGTATATCACCGCTCATCGATGTGTCTGATGTCTCTGAGGACACGCACTGCTCAGAAAACTCACAATGTGACGTCCTCTGACTTGACATTGTGAGGAGGATCGTCTGTTAAAACAACTGACTGCTCCTGCCAATTTGAAGACACAGAGGGCTTCAGTGGATGTGGGAAAAAGTTGGCTCCGGCCTGCATCTCTCCTCAGCCGCCTTTGCAGGAGCTTCTGAGTTCATATGCTCTACATCTAATGCCTCAAAACTTATAGTGGAGCACATTTCATAGCTACTCCCTCAATGTCTGCTTAAAACCATGGAGCACTTTGCCTGGTTGGAGTCATTTTTGTCTCTGACTGGGTTTGATTGAAAATCTGTGCAGTGGCTTATAATAGTGAGTAAAAAAGCTGCATTTTCAGCTGTGTTAATGCTAATACTAATCTGATGGATTAGCGGGGCCGTTTAACAGAGGTGAAAAGCAGAATTTGGTTCTCATGGCATAAAGGCAAGGCATGACCTCTAAAGTCGGTTGCATCAGAGATGAAAAAGTTCAGTTGAAATGCACTTCAACTGGTTTTATTTTCAACACGCATAACTTTCTGTATATGACAATAATTTGGCTAGAGTCTGCTGCAAACAAACTGGACCGTCCTGGTTGTGCAGCTAACTAAATGAAGTTTGTCTTGCAACTTGTTGCACATCTTGCCTGTCGAGACTAAGCAGATAAAAGTCCGAAGTTTGTCCCTGAGGGCTGCTGTCCTGCGGGTTTTCCATGTTTCCCTGCTTAAGCACGTCTGATTCACATCGGTGTGCCGTTGTGTGCAGAGCTTTTGAATCCATTTGATCAGAATCAGGTGTGTTGAAGCAGCAGTGGCCCTCAGGGACCAGAGCTGGACACCCCAAGCTTTCTAGGTGAAAGCTAAAAGCTAAAAAAGAGCTAAAAGTTGTTAAAAAAGTTTTTAAAAAAAGATTCACTCCTCATTTTGTGGGAAAACAAGAGTGTACCGTGTTAGTGAGTCAGAACAGAGTGCTGTGAGTTAATTTGTTCGCGGCACCCTTCAGAACATTTAGGATCTGAGCTGTGTAGCCGAAATGAACAAAAAAGAGTACTGGAATAACAAAGTGACAAAGAGAGCCCGGGCAGAGACAGAGAGGCTCCAACAGCTTATGGGGAGAATCACACACTTAATAGAGAGAATGGAAAAGATCACAAGGGGGGGATTGTGATTAGAAAAAAAAAAACTGACTGTATGATCAGAAAGAAACACAGAGACGAAATAAGCCAGAGCAGTGTGGAGAAGCAACAAAGAGGGGAAAATGTAAAAAAAAAAGGAACGCCATTAAAGAGAGGAAGAGAAGGATGAACAGATGGAGTGGGCTGTCACTATTTTGGTGCACGATGGGATTATCAGCATGTGGTTACAGTATGTTACAGCTGATATCCTATATATATGTGTGTGTGTGTGTGTGTGTGTGTATATATGAATATATATACACCAGTATGTATACATAATATATTATATATATACACTATTTGTAATAGTGGCGGTATTCCTTGAACCCAACAGATACAAGTTAATTTAAACCAGGTAATTACTGTATAATGTCTGTGCTTTTAGAAAGTTGTTATTATTGATCCAGAAATAATTTGTATTTTACACTAATTCTTTCACAAACCATTTTGATGGACTGTACCAGATGGATATTGGCATTAGTTGTTACTGCGTAAAAGTAGTTTACCAGGAAGAGGTCGAATATCGAAAATATGACAAGTAAAGTCCCTCAGATGACTGATGTATAGCAAAAAAACATGCATGCATTCATATATAAAACCAACACGATGGACAGTTAAGCTTGAGGTTATTTTTAATAAGGTGTACATTAAATTCTTCTCAAACAGCCTTTAAAACAAGTTTAATTGGTGATAAAAAAAAAACCACATTTAGCATCTTTTTAATATTTACTCATCAGAGAGAAATGAGATTTGTTAGTACTTTAAGTGTTCGACAAAATGAAATACGATTCTGTGGTTTTCAGGTCAGTTTGACCCATTTCAGAAGCTAATACTTTAGGTTTTCTTCCATATAACTACATGGAAAAGACATGAATTGTTTTCTTTTTGCTGCAAGATAATAAGTGGAAATGGTTTCAAGAAAATGTCCTTGACATATGGCTTTATATGATATGACATCAACTTATTTGGCTGTAACTATAGTCAAAATAATTCAGAATTCTTTCATTTTTGACCCAAACATTATGTTTAGAGGCTTTAAAAGGTAAACGCCATATTGACTTACATCCTCCTGAGACAAAGGAAATCCCAGCCAATCAGAGTTTTCGTATTAGGTCAGAAGACAGGGGGATTTCAAGACAAAGCTCATTTTAGGGAAAGATAATGAATAACTTTGGTAATAATAACATCAGGACTTCTTGAAACCAATAAAATGCACCTCCCTCTCACCTGTTTGTGCCCTCACACAGAGAGCGATGGTGCTTTGTGAGTCCCACCCGTGTGCACGCTGCCTTCTCTCTGCTGTCAGTGACTAATAGTTTACCATTACATAGCTTGGCTCGTCTGTGGACTTGCCCAAGTTTCCCTGCGTCCAGTTCTAGCTGTTGCTGAGGCAACAAGCAGCACCATCGTGCTGCTTATAGCATCTCCTACCGAGGGTTCTGGTGGAGACTGGCTCTGGGCCCGCCGTCAGAACCGTACAGGGGAGCCAGACGCTTAAAACCCCGTTGAATCCAGTAGTAGCGTGCTGTAGAGAACACAACAACAATTACAGTTCAACCGTGTTTATCCTGAAAAGTCTCTTGATCTAGTTTATCATTATCAGCCATTTTAAATGTTAATAAAGCCTCAGAAAAGAAAGCACTTTTATGTGTCTTTAGGGGTCCAAAGGCTTGTCACTGAAGTGGTCCCAACGTTGTACCTTTAGAATTTGTCCTTTTACCACCTCGGAACAAGTGTACTTTTTATTATTAGCCATATAGGGTACATAAGTTTAATCAAATTAAGTTAAATTTCCCTATATGAATGAAAAAAATACCTCTGCAACCCAGTTCAATTGAGAAAAGGTTGTTTTAATTGTATTTATATATTCTTTTAATGTTTGGATACACTTTGGAAAGGAGTATTGGTACTACCGTAATGCAATCGCACAAAACTGGACACGGGCAGCAGTGGAGTGGAGGGGTGCCTGTGTCTAGGGAGGAGTCCTTTGCAACCATCATGTTGAATTTGGAAGATTTTCTCTATGGATTTGGGCTAGATTTGTCTAATTGTATCATAGAGAAAGTGGACAGAGAGGGGATGATAGTAAAGGGATCGAGGTCAGAACAAACCCAGGTGTGCTGTGTGCGATCTTCTTACCCCCTTTATGTTGATTCACGGTGTATATAACTCTTTATCACACCTCTTTCTCTTTTAGTGACTATATAATTAAGGAGAAGACTGTGCTTCTGCAGAAAAAAGACAGCGAGGGATTTGGCTTTGTGTTAAGAGGGGCCAAAGGTAAGAAATGTGAAGGGAACACTTTTTAAAGGCCTTTTTTCTGTGCGGTTAGTTTGTTTAAGCACATCTCGTCGTTACGCTTGCAGAGTTAGTAAGATCTGGTATTTCCATTCTGTCTCCAGCTCAGACCCCCATCGAAGAGTTTACCCCCACCCCAGCCTTTCCAGCCCTGCAGTATTTGGAGTCGGTGGACGAGGGGGGCGTGGCCTGGAGAGCTGGTCTCAGGATGGGGGATTTCCTTATTGAGGTACGTTTGCATTTTATGTGACACCTGTTTTAGTCCAAAAGAGGGAAAAAAAATCAACTTTCTAGGTTACAGTAACATCTCTTTTACTAAAATACAGTAAATGTTGGCTATTAGTCGATACTCTGTGTCTGTGTTCCAGGTCAATGGTCAGAATGTGGTGAAGGTCGGTCACCGGCAGGTCGTCAACATGATCCGGCAGGGCGGTAACAGCCTCATGGTCAAGGTTGTCATGGTAACCCGCAACCCTGACATGGAGGAGGGCGCAAGGAAGAAGAGTAAGGCCCTTTGTGGTCGACGGTGTTAACTCAAACTTGTTTCTGAACGGCTTAACCCGCTACAGCAGCTCTTCTTTTCCCCTTTTCTCCAGTCCCACAGCAAAGCAAGAGGCTGAGCACCCCCGCCATCGCCCTGCGGTCCAAGTCCATGACTTCAGAGCTGGAGGAGATGGGTAAGAAGCAGGAATGAACTTTTTTGTGGATGAAACAAAAGGGATTAAAGAGAATGAAGAGTCATACGTTTATGGAGATGCAGAAAAAAGGAGGACGAAGGTAGAAACTGACAAATATGATGAGAAATGATAAAGAAAACGTGAAACCAAGTGGTCAAAGATTCTGAAATCTTGATGGGAATGTGAGCACGGGATGAATTTAAAGAGCAAGAGCGCACAGAAAAGATGTTTTGGTTATTTAGGAAAGACAAAGAGAAGATTGGCTCCCGCCATGGATGACGGTCTCAATGCATTTCACTGTTCTTTCAGAGGTTCCACACTGTCACTTCCAGCACCCCCACTACAGGTAACCCCACCCAGACAGAGGTGTCGCCATCTTCCCCGTGATCCCCGTCTCACTGCTCGCCTCTTTTACCTCTTTTACCTTTAACCCCCCCCCTGCACCCCTCTCCCCCCTCGGCCCACCCAGAGCTGCATCTCCAGTGCCCACGGAGCAGTCTAACCCCCCTCACCCCCCTGTTCGACACACACACACACACACACAGAAATGCTGACACTCCACAAGTATTTGTTATCAAAGGAAACACTTTAGGTAATTGGGTGTCTTTGGGGAGCAAAAGAAAAACATCACAGCAAAGTCTCTGGACTGTATCTACCTTTTATTTATCGTCTTATATCGAAAATATTTTGGTTCCTTTGGAAGGAATAACACCAAGGATGCATTTATTGAGATGAGTAATCTTTGAAGAAGAGAATAAAAAAAAAAAACTTTGTTCCAGGTCTGTTTCTATGGTAACAGTAATATGTGTAGCTATGTGTATGCCATCTCTATTTGAGGCAAAATAGTGGGAGGAGAGTGCATGGCGAGGGTCAACGCCCCCATTTGCAGATCAGGACGTTGGCCAGTATTCTGTCGGTGATTGGCTTAAATCTTCTTAACACTTCTGGCGCCCGTCGCTGCTGCTGTTTGCTTCTGAGCGTGCTCGGTGAGCAACCGGCGAGCTGCCGGGGGAGAATCGGGCGGCTTTCGTCAGCTGGTCCCCGTTCTGGTGTCTCTCTCTGGCAAACAGTTGCAAAAAAAAACAACAACCACAATGAGTCATGTCCTGCCACCAAAAGGCCAGATATTATTAACTTCTATTGGGATTGTCGACATCAGCCTTTTGCCTCGTCGTTCCCCTCTCTCCTCCCCTCACCTGCCCTCTCTCTGTGGCGTGACCTCGTCCAATCAGTGCAAAGCATGAGCACCCGCTCCGACACACGGGTTTTTATCTCCCCGAACCCCCAAACCCACCTCTCCACTTCACAGTGCTCACTGTTTACTCACCAGACTCTTACCGGCAGCACTGTATGTATAGAGTGGTACTGCATGCATTATCTGATGAAAACTGCCTCAGTGCGACCAACAAGGGGTTCAACAAGGTACACACATCAATCAGCCATCACATTAATTTTACATACACGCTTCCTGCAACAGCTCCGACTTTGGGAGAAAAAGCAACCATTAATTTGAGAAGAAACAGCTGCAACCAAGACTAATTACTTCATCATCTTTGTGTCAAAGAATCTGAATTAATCGAGCCATGATATACTGTGTGGCCTAAAAGTGCCACAGTATTAGTGCTAAATCTTGTATAAGCTTACGAGATTTATTTGTATGAGTGTGTGTCGGCCAGACCAACTCAGAAGGCATTTCTGCTTCCACGTGCCAAACTAGTTAGAGTAAGAAATTCAGGTTGAACCAAAGTTTTATTTTAATTACAGTGTAATGTAGGGTAATGTAAGAATAACTGCCCCATTGTTTTCTCATATCTTAGTTGCTGTGATACAACTCTTGACAAAGGTTTTTTCTGCTTGTACCTCCGTCTGAAGAAAGGTGAAAAGAGCACAATGTGTGATGAAGCCATGTCAGCCACTGCCATATGCTTATTCAAATGAATTTTAATTTATTAAGCTGTGACGCCTGCTAAACTCTACCCCCTTGTGACTGTCTCAGTTCACCTAGAAGTCACGCCGCAAGTAACAAGGACGTAAAAGTGGAAATGATCACGCAAGTCCTGTCATTTCTTATGCGCGTGTTTCAATAACAAAGTGGCTTTTTTTAAAAAGGTTTTAGACAGATATTAGGAGATGAAATAAGCACAAATTCTCCAACTCTTTGTGGTCAATTTAACTACCGACGTGTATTCTTCTGGCTCCATAAAGCACACATAAAGAAACATAATGGCTTGCGTTTGAGTACTGCAGACCGGCCCATCCCTGCTCTGTCCACACACAAACACACTCAGTGGGTCACCTTTAACTCCTCCGCCTCACTCCTTTCTGGGCATCTCTTCTCACCGGGTTGGCCACTAACCTGTCCTGCCTCTCCTTTGTCTTTTTCGTCCTCACAACCCTGCTGACGGGACATCAACTGCTTCTCAGTGGAGAGAGGTGGGAAGTTTCAAACTACGCCCCCCTTTGTGTGCTTGCTTAAAGCAGAGTGACCGGCGTATGTGTGTGTGTCGCGTATTTACGGTAAAACGATTGCACGCCTCCGCTGTGTGGCGTTTGGGTGCGAGAGTGTGTTCTTTTATATAAAAGATCGAAAGCCTGATGGGGTGACTCAGTTTGTTGGGCTCTGGGGAAGGTGATTAGTATTCACTGTAACAGCGCTATCGCACTTTCTCTGCTGCCAAAACTTAAGTCTCCTTTTGTCCTCTTTCCAGCTGCTACCCCTTGGAAAAAAAAATCAGGTATGCTCTGGTGGACTCCTGCCCAAGGTGTTGTTTTTATGACTGTCCAAAATGACCTGGCTCTCACCGCCCAGTCTCTTACCGGCCTCGTTTCATCTCTTTTAAGAATTCGAATCCTCCCAAGTTGCAGAGAAGAAGAGGACAGTCTATCAGATGGCTTTGAGTAAGGAACCCCCGCATTTGTCTGTGGATGTATCTGAATCTCTTACTCTTTTTTCCCGTTCACCACCGTCGAGCGTGTCCCTCTCCACACAGTTATCCTTGTTCTGTGGCTGTCCATTTTTATGTTTCATTGCCGTATGTCTCTCTCTCTCTCTCCCCCTCTCTTCCTGTCTGTCTCTTTATTCCTTTTTCTCTCAGATAAATTAGATGAAATTCTTGCAGCAGCTCAGCAGACAATCAGTACCAACGAGGCACCAGGGACACGGGGACAGGGGCCAAAGAGAGAGAGGGGAAGAAGTTTCTATGGCAATGAGGTGTGTATCCTGAGATGGACTCGCGTGACCCGATCATAACTCTTTTTATTGTCAGATTTTGCTTGAAAAGTGAATATGATTTTAAATCTTTCAAACCCAGATGCAGCCAGTTGTTTCAACTGCACAGGTTTACAAGCTTAAACCCACAGTAACTTCACGTGTAATTTCAGCAGAGCTACGGGGATCAAACCGGGATGGGGATGCTGCCGTCGGGGGTGGGCCTTGGCTATGACCGTGGTCAGTACACCTCAGGTCATGCCCCACAGCACGGTATGCTGCGGCAGAAATCCATCGGTGAGGCTGTCTGTTTTTTTCCGTCTGCCCTCTCCTCCGTTCACCTTTTCTGTCTGTCCGGGCCAGGAGATGTCTGCACTGCACTGACATGTTTGTCTGGACCCAGTGATGTCCTGTATGTGGCCCAGTGTGTGGTCTCTTTCTGTATCTGGCTGTGCACTTTTGAGAACGAAATTTGTCGGTCTTATATTCAACCCATTTGTTACATTATTTTGTCTGCTTTGTTGCTAACTTAGGGTTGGCCAACTTTTCCCATACATGACTATGGGCCCTCTGGTGAGCAACAAAACAAATACTGTTGTGTAGCGATGTCCAGTTCTTACTTGTTTCACACATTTTAATTAAGGACAGACTTGCTTTCAGGTTCTTGGGCAGGCAGATTTAGACAGACACTCTCATAGACTTCTATTTTGACTCGAAAATGGTACTTTTTCCAAGTTTCTGTTTGACCATAACACTTTCCACCGTCCTTATTTCTCTCTGCCTCTGAATGCTGTACTCCAGGTGTGCCTGAGGAGGAGAAGCAGTTCCTCCACCCTCCGGCCATGAAGTTTGCCCGCAGTCTGTCAGTGCCCGGTCCGGACGACATCCCCCCTCCGCCCACCACAGCTCCACCGGATCCTCCCTTCTCCTCGGCGCCGCCCCTCGGTTGGAGAGCCAAGTCCTCTCAGCAGCCGTCTGTGTCCGTGTCCCAGTCCACGTCCACCTCCGCCCACTACCAGCCCTACTCCCAGTCCGTGCACTTCGCCCACGGCGGGCGGGAGCGGGCCGGTGGCACCGGCGCCCCCGGCGGCGGGGGGGCGGACAACAGCGCCTCGTACGTTCATGCGTCTGCCCACACTGCCCAAAGCAGGACTGCCTCGCGGAAGGTTGCCTACACTGGGGAGCCTGTTGGAGCTGGGATGGGGGCTGGTCAGGGGGCTAAGGCAGCAGGTCTCCGGAGAGGCTACAGCACAGCTGTCCCCCCATCCAGCATCGCCACCGTAATACCTCAGCAACAACAGACCACCCAGAGTCAACCCCAGCGCGCGGAACGCAGCGGGGCCGCTGCGGGCGGCCCTAAAGGCGGGGCCAGGAGGGGTAAGGGCCCACTGGTCAAGCAGTCCAAGGTGGAGGACCTGCGCATTGGCCAGGGCACGCTGGGGAGCAAAGACTCGGTGGAGAAGAGCTCCATCCCCATCCCCACCATCATAGTCAAGGCCCCTTCCACCAGCAGCAGCGGGCGAAGCAGCCAGGGCAGCAGCGTGGAGGCGGATGCTCCCGCGCCGGGGGAGGGGGACGAGGCCAAAACCCCCCACGGTCCTCCTCCCTCCACGCCCGCCCCGCAGCCCCCCGCTCCGCCGTCCATTCCAGCACCGCCGCCTCCATCTTTGCCTTCGATTCGAGCCCAGGAAAACCTGGACTTCACCAGCCAGTTTGGGGCCGCCATTGTGGGCGCAGCTCGCAGGGACAGGGAGCGGTTCCACGAAGCCCGCCGAAAGAGTGCCTCCTTGTTCATGTCCGCGGAGGAGGACGTGAGCCTCGGGGGGGTGAGCGACGGGATCGGAGGGGTAACGAGGACTCAGGTGTCACAGCAGCAGCTTAACACGCAGGCTGAAAGTTCGTCAACGCGACTACGGCCCTCCAAGTCCATTGACGAGGGAATGTTCTCGGGGGATACCTTCATCCATCACACACGGAGTATGCCTCCGGCCTTTGGTCTGCCTGAGTACTCCTCATCTGCCCTGGACTATCAGCCCAAGTCCGTGCCAACGGATTTGTACACAGTGGCCGGCAGACAACCAGCACCCTCCACCAACACCACCTTCATTCACCCCCTAACGGGGAAGGCGCTCGATCCCACGTCTCCGCTGGGCCTCGCCCTGGCAGCCAGAGAACGGGCTCTTAGGGATGACAGTAGATTAAGGAGGGGAGCGGAGCACCACTTTACCCGTCAGATGTCCAGCGGGGTGTTTCCTTCTTCTACTGTCACCTCTCAGCCAGTCTCTTCCGCCGCCCAGTCCTCCAGCTCCTATCTGGTCACCTCCTCCTCGTTGGCGGCCACCACGTCCACCGTCGGTCGCCCGCCCTCGCCCAGGATCCTCAGAGGAGTTGGGGGCGTGTGGGGTGAGGAAGGCGGCGGAGGGGAGAGGGAGCGGGAGGGAGGGGGGCCTCGCGAAGGGCTCAGGGTTCGCTTCTCCGAGGACAAAACTGTCCACACGCACCACTACCAGTCTCAGCCATATCAGCCATCTTATAAAGAACGGGAACGGGAGAGGTCGAGGGAACGGGAGCGAGAGTTATCACGAGAAAGGGAGAGGGACAAAGAGAGAGAGGGTTACATCAGGAGGGCCGAGCAGGCTGCTGCCAATGCGGCGGCGGCTGCTGAGAGCGCTGCCCAGCATGCGTCTCAGAGCCAGCAGCCTCGGAGGCCATCTTTTCTCAGGATGGAAAGTCAAGCTGACGCCTATATACTATCCCTCACTCCTCCGTCTCCCCCAGCCACCGGTACTCAGCAGGGAGCCAACCCTACTGGGAGCAGTGGGTCCGGCCTGATGGTTCTGCCCCCCCCTGCCCCTTCAGTCGATGCGGATGATGAGTTTGTGTACGCAGAACCCCTCCCTCCACCCTTACAGTTCGCTAACAGTTTCGACAGGGGAATATCAGGATACTCGAAACAGGGGATGCTCCCCAATAGTCTGAACCCTCGCCATACACAGGTCCCACCTCCCCCGCCTCCTCCGCCCCCACCGCCCCCTCCCCCTCCTCCACCCCCCCAAAAAGAACAGTTCGGAAGCTCATTTCCCGCTCACACGCCCCTGCCCTCGCCCCAGGCGGGCGACTCCACCGCCTCCAGCCTCACGTCTTACGACAGTGAAGTTGCCAACCTCACTCAGTCCGCTCCGTCCCCTTGCCAGACGTCACCAAACCCCCAACCCCCTCCCTCGCCCTCAAACCGTCAGCCAGCCATGGGCCCTCCGCCTCCCCCGGCCGTGTCCCCGCCCCCTCCCCCCGGATCCTACCACAGACCCTTCTCCATGTCTCACCACCTGTACAACAGCACCCACGCTTCTGGCCGGTCCTCGCCCTCGCCCCCGGCGCACCACACGGTGGCCCCTCCCCCGGCCTACCGCGGACCTCCGGCCGCTTCCTCCTCCACTGCCAGCTCCGTCCCGCACAGGGGCGCCGTTTCCCACGCCATGACCGCTAGCTGTGCTTCTTCGACCGCCACTACAACCAGCACCTCCACGCATCTCTATCAGGAGCGATCGCACGCCACCACCTCCTCCACCATCGTCACCGGCGGCCGCAGGGGGGCCGAGCACCACCGTCCAACCCCTGCCGCCAAGAAAGGAGAGTCCCAGGAGACGGTGGTGGACTCCGGGATCGAGGAGCTGGACAGCCGCAGCAGCAGCGACCACCACCTGGACAGCATCCTGGCTCTGAGCGGAGCCGGGGTCCGGGGGGACAGGCTGGACCGGGGTGAGAGGGCGGGAGGGGGAGGAGCCGGAGGACGAATGGGAGGAGGAGGAGGAGGAGGGACGGCGGAATCGGACAGGGCCGGGGATTTCCTGGAGTCTTACATGAGCTATCTGGACGGGCAAACGTTCGAGATGCAGAACGCCACGGCGGCGGCCTCCACCTACCCGAAAAGCGGCCGGTTCCGAGACGGGGGCCGCGCCGGCGAGCTCCAGAGGCAGACCAGCACCGCGCCGGCCTCCTTCCACAGGAGGAGAGACGAGCAGGTGGAGGACGAGATGGAGGAGGGATCGGCCGAGGACGAGAGGGGCCAGGACGGCTACGGCGTCAGGGACATGCAGAACCTGGGCCGCCCCGCCTCGCCGTATTTCGACCGTCCGCGCACCCCTGAGATGAAGCCCCTGTGGGGGGACGGCCAGATGAGCGGGGATACAGGCGGCCAGTCGGGGGCGCTGTTAGAGGGGAAGAAGGTTTACCCCCCTGCTTCCAGTATGAAGCCCAGCATCATCAATGAGCTGAGCAGCAAATTGCAGCAAAGAACCAAGGACAGCTGGAGCAGCCAGAGGCCGCTGGGCAGACACAGGTACGCTCACACAAACCAGCGCTTCTGTCCAGTTTAACCACATATTTCTGTTTCTGTATCCATGTTTCACCTGTGGGAAAACACAGAATGTGGCTCTGCTGAGCTCTTCACCTCCCGGTTTATGTTCAAGGGGCTTCTGTAATGAATTTGTAAACTGTCTGTCTTTTGTGTGTCTTGTGTGTAAACCCTCTTTTTTTGTTTTATTTCTCTGGCTTTCTCCGTGTGTTTCTCTCAGAAGCAGAAACAGGTAACAGAGTCGCCTCCACACATTCTTTTTTCTCTGTCTGGAAAAGCGTTTAGCTTTACTCTGACCCGCAGCCTGTTATGAAACGGTGTTGGAAGAGGAGGACACCCGCAACAGACTTAAAGCTGCTCGTTCTGATAAAAAATATTGGCAGTATTAAACAATGTAGAGATAATGTTCTCCTTTGTGTGTGTGCATGCTTTTTTTAATATCACGTCGTGGTTTTCTGTTCATTTCTCCTTCTTTCCATTGACAGGTTTTCAGAAGACTCGGCCTCGGCCCTGAGCCCCCCCTCAGTTCGATCCCAGTCACCCTCGCCAATTTCATTGTCCCAGCCATCGCTGTCCCCATCCCCGACGCCCGCCTCCCAGTACCCAAACTGGGGACGATCCCCGTCCCCTCAGCCCCCGGCGGCCTCTCAGCCTCCTCGTTCGCACTCCCCACTCTCCCCGACGTCTTACTCCCCCTATCCCACATCCCCCAAGCACAGACCGGTCTACAGGAGCAAAGCCTTGGAGTTCCAGTTCATCCCCAGTCGTGAGTCCCGTAAAGCAGAATCTCATTTACTGCAGCGCAGGCGGGCTCCCAGCCCCCTCATTTCCCCATCGGAGAGACCCAAGATGGGCCCGCCTCGTCCTTCCTCCCTTCCTCTCCTCCCTACCACACCTCTGTACAGCGCTATCTACGACCTCCGCGGGTCCATCACCCCCCCATCACCTGGAAACCCTCTGGGGGATCCTTACTTCTCACCCTCTCCTCCTCTGTTCGCCCCATCGGGCGCGCCCCCACCTCCAAACTCCACTTTAGTCGTCTCTCGATCCCTTTCTCCGACTCATTTCCTGTCGGGGACGTCTTCTCCCCCGTTGCACCCTCTCCCTCCCCCCACTTGCCTGAGTTACCCCCATTTACCACCCCCTTCCCCTACAAAACCTTTCGCCTCCAAGCCGCTGCCCTACTGGACCAAGTACGACGTGGCGGACTGGCTGGGGTACCTGAACCTGGGAGAGCACAGAGAACGCTTCCTGGACAATGAAATCGACGGCACCCATTTGCCCTCTTTGACTAAGGAGGACTACCTGGATTTGGGCGTGACGCGAGTCGGCCACCGGATGAACATCGAACGAGCCCTGAGGAGTGTCATCGACAGGTAAACAGGCGTTTTTGCTACCTCATTATTTAATATTAGAAGACACCACAGTCTTGATGATCCATTCAACCCTTATTTCATAAGTGTTTTGTTTCTACACCTGGTCAAAACCACTATGCTAGATTTTCTTTTTAGCTTTATGACAACCTTGTCTCCAGAAAAAACCTTTAATAATTCTGTCTTTTATACCAGAAATGTATTTAATTTTATTAAGTGAGTATGCCAATAGAGCTACTTTTTGTCAATTCAGGTTTAAATGTTAACAAGGTCTTTGGGTTGTTTTTTCTTTGGTTTGAACCTTCCTTTGTAGAAGCACTAGAGGTCAGTGTTGTTGACAGTGAGATGTTCCTAAACCTGAGTAGAGATTTAAATGACAGAAAAATGTTTTTAATGAAGTGCTGCATAGCTGAAAAATCATCCCAAAAGTGTTGGCCCACAGCCCTTTTCTTCTGAGTACAGAGATTTGGGGATTTTGTAAATCATTAAACAGTTATGTATGTAAATGCTAAAATCCTAAAATAATGGAATTACTTTTTTCCCATAAAAAGTCCCAATTTCCCAAAACCCCTTCATAGAAAGCAAACATGTATTTTGTTTATTTTGTCCTCAGACTTTCCAGCAGTCCCTTTCCCATTTCTGTCCTCTCACCTCGGGACGGACAGGCGGACAGGAGGAGGGACGATGGCGGTCGAAGCTGAGTGTGCGAACACAGACGCCGAAAACCAAGAAGAAGAAGAGGAAGGGGTCGAGGGCAATGAGGGAGGAAGGCACCACTGCTGCTGTCCATGGCGGATTCAGACAACGAATGAGGTCTCGATCAGATTTCACACAGAGAGCCACACAAAGAGGCAAGTCAGGTCCAGGAGAGAGAGAAGGAGGAAAGGCTGACTATTCATAAAAACACCGGGCTGGCTGATTTACAAAAGTACACCTCCCACATGCATGCACACTCACATCAATCAACACGAGTAACGCAAACATCCTCTCATCCAGAAGTAAGTTAACACTACGGCTGCAGCAGAGCTTAGGAGACACTACCTTATACCACCTAAGGCAAATACTCGAGAAAAACTATTAAATGCAGATTAGATATTTGGGGAAAAAGGATCTAAGCGGGTGAGAATATCTCAGACTGTCCTGTTGTGGAGGGATGCTCATTTTAAAGCATGCCTGGTTCCCACAGAGGGGTATTTAAGGGTGAGAGGTGATGAATGTGTGAAGGCGTGAGGCTTTGTGTGTGTGTGTGTGTGTGTTTGAAGAAAGGCAGGACGATGGATTCCACGTGGTTTGAGCCGATGAGGGAGCAGATGGATCACTTGGTTCCGTCCGAGGAGGCTTGCTGTGTGTCTGGCTTTTGATTGGTTGCGTTTTGTTTTTTACCTCATCGCCGGTAGGGCTCCGTCCTCGTTGGGGATCCTGTAAATCGGGATCGCGTACGTTTCTCTATAACTCTTTATCATCTTAAGTCTTATAACGACAAAATATACAGACTGGTCACTGTATCACAAATTTGTAGCAAAAATAAGTGCCCAGACCGACGACATAAGGAAAATATAACGACACAGAAAACACACTCATACGCGCACACACACAGGCACCCAAGGTAAAACAATCCATGCCTGCATGCACACACACACACACCGACATGTAGACACACACAAACGCAATCACTTCCCAGTGCTTGCGTGAGAATTTATGGGACGCTTTATATATAAATATATGTAGACACATTATGTTTGGATCCAAGATGTACTAATTCATGAAGGAGACAGACTGTGCTTTCAACTGTTAGATGGGATTTATGAAGAGAAATCTTCCAGAGGACTGAATTTTCAGAGAGAGACTCCTTCAGCATCGGGGCTGATGCTGTGCACTCGTTCAGACCTTCTATGCGAGGGAGACTGGAACGGAGAGGGGAGGGGAAGAGTAAAAACTGCCATTCTCTTGTTCTTTCCCACCCAATCCCCCCTGCTCCTTCCGTGAGTGGCCTTTCTCCTTTGACGAAATCCTGGAGGAAAGGAGCAGCCGCTCGGCTGAGGGATCCAAGAGAAACGCTTAAATCCAGTTTTATTACTATGATTGTTCTTACAGTTTTTAAACTTTAAATGGGAACACTGGAATACTGATATTGATATGAAGAGATTTATTGTTGCTATTTATCATTACTATCATCGTCCTTACTGTTATTGAAGCCTAAGAGAAGTCCCGGTTTCTGCCACTGAGGACTCAGATGGCGCTTTTTTTTTCAGTCAGCTTACGCTCTGACTGAAATGTGAAGATAATCACGGTGGTATTAAGTGTAAAATTAAATGTATATGAAGGTATTTTTGAACTGAAAGACTGTGTTATTTGGTGCACTGTACCCTGAACATTGCTTCTATGTGGAAAGAAGCGTTTCAGCTAAATGTGAAGCACATTTCAAAGTGTTATTTATTTTATTTTTTTTACTTTTCCCCTTGTTTTTCTGTTTCTGGACTGCGAAGCTTTAAAATGATATGTGAAGTTCAAAGGCCTCAAAACATATTTTTTTTTCACCCTTAGAAAACTTAGCTACTACTCAGTGTTATGCTGATACTGTAGAAATGTAGCAGCCCAACACACATCCAAGTGAAATCCTTTTCTATTTTCAACACTTTCCTTGAGTTATTATATCTTCCAATATGCAGAACAGCCAGCCTAAACAGCAGTTCAGTTTCTGTGTGTGTGTGTGTGTGTGTCGATCGGTTTTCCTAAATGCCTGGATTTTTCCCACTAGCTTTTTTTATGGCGCATTTACATCCTCTCACCTCCCAGTTCCTAACCGCCTCACCTTTGCTGATATGAGAAATAAGGGCTCTTTCGTGACTTCTCTACCTTGAACAACGCCTCACCTCTCCTGCTGCTTTTTGAGTCCACGAACACATCATGCATCAAATGTGCATTTTGCATCGGGGCGGGGGGGGGGGTTTCCTCTCGTCTCTGACGTCCTATGTTGAAAGATGAAGAGTTGTCATCCCATCTTTTTGCTCCAAGTGCACATGCACACAGGTAACTAATGTGAACGTTTAAAGGGGTTGGTTTTCGTATCTGATGGTCTAGAAGAGATTATATTGACTTGAAGGGGAATAGCAATAAGGACGATGAAAATAATGGTCATCTAACTATGGTTTAAGATGTAAAAAAAAAAGTCTCAAAAGTTCTAAAGAATCTCTGTCTTCCAAATAATGTTTAACATGAAGAGTTCAAATGTATTTATTTAATTGTACTGCTTTCTATACAGTTTGACCTGTTCTCCACACTTGCCCTTCCCACCTTTGCTGATCTGAGCTCCACTTTGTTCAAAGCGCCACCTTCCACCGCTAACATGTGCTAACCGCATGCTCACAGCTCAGTTTGTAACCAGCATTATTCTGCAAGGATCCCGTTCTCATGACCAACTGTGACTTTTCCCATTTCTATTCAGAGGTTTAGAGAAAAACCGAAAAACCACAAAGCGAGCCGACTGTGGCCTCTGCTCCAAACATTTTCAGGCTCCAGATTCAGCATGTTTCTATCAGGTCTGTAAAGTTTGCTGGTGTAAATAGGGCCGAATAGAAATCATGTACAAATGGTTTTGAACACGCCTCCTGCTGAAATAATGATCCTCTCATGAAGTGACTGGTGGGATGAAGTTTTGAGTTTTTTTTTTTTGCTCTCAGTAGTTGTAACTGTTACCATTCATGGATGCTTTATTAAGAAAAGGTTACTGTCGGACAGAATTGGTCTGACTCTATAGAAAGCATTTTTCATTTTAAGAGATCTTTAAAAAAAAAAAAAGAGAATATGAACTGATGGAAGGTAACTTACAGATTATATATGTATATGTGACATGCATATACACATTCATATAAATGTATATGAATTTCAAATGTTTTAAGAGATAAATTGTTAGAATTATAATAAAGATACAGAAACAAAGTTCTAACTCAGGGTTTGTGATGTCCTGAATGTTTTTTTTTTTTTTTTTTTTAAACCGGCACCGATTTCCTGCTCAACACACCAAACAAAATCAGATCACACCAGATTCTTCCACCTTTATAGCCCAGAACTAAGACTTCTCCCTCCCAGCCACAGAATCACCGCCACCTGAAGCGGGATTGTCATTTTATCTCAGACCCCTCACTGTTCCCTAAAGGCAGTTTTCAAGACTTTGCTCAAGATTAACCGACTTCAAAGAACTCCAAACTGATGACACCCACAGAGCAAACTCCTGCACTTAATAAAGTTTGACCCGTCAATACAAAGTGTTTTTGGTCTAAATTTAGATAAAAGTAGCTGCATTTTAATCCCTCCATGGACCCAAAACAGTGGTAATTTATATTAATGAATTTATTTAATTAAAAAAATAAAGGCATACAAAAACAGTCAAGACCAAATTTATTTACAAATCACAGCAATTACAAACAATTCATCAGTTAAAATGAATAAAAAAATAGTTTTTAAGTAGTAAATGCTGCAACTTTGATCCGAGTAATATTGTCTGGAAGAGGTTTAAACCTGGAGATGAAGAGAAAACACAAGTCAGGCCATCTAAAAAACAAAAAACAATCACATTTCAAAAAGTTCAATCTTTTAGATCAGGGCTGTTGAACTCCAGTCCTCGAGGGCTGACCTACAGGTTTCAGAGGTTTGCCTAGCCTGTGTAAAGCTCAACGTTAAGTCCAGTTGAGTCAGAATCAGAACCGTGTAAAGCTGCTGACCAGCGGCCCTCGAGGACGGGAGGCCGACAGCCCCGTTTCAGGTCATCTCCTCAGACTCTGCCATGTCAGGGACAGAGCTGCACTTCTCTCACCACAAATGTTCTGAGCCCAGTGCAACGCATCACAAGAGACCACCATTCACAGAATTAAAGCGTATGAGGACACAAACCTGATTCAGGCCCAGCCGGGATGTGACTTGCAAACAAACCTGAAGAGATAAAGACGGTAAGTACATAATCGTTACTTTATCCTACTGCCGTGACTTTATTTTCTCCTCAGGAACTTTGGCTTGTCAGGGCCAAAGGTGCACTCTGTCTCCATTCAGATTCAGAGCCCAGTGCAGGTCATCAGGGGAGAGACACATTCATCCACAGCTACGCTGAACATGACTCACCTGCGAGGAGCTCAGCTGGAACAGATGTTTGTTCAGTAACCTGAAACGAAAAAAAAAAAAAAAATACAGATCAACGACGACCAGAGCCACGTTCAGCCAACGTCCGGTTTGTTCTCTCCTCAGGGTCTTTGGCTTGTCAGGGCCAAAGATGCACTCTGTCTCCATTCAGACTCAGAGCCCAGTGCAGGTCATCAGGGGAGAAGGACGGTCACGTGTTCACCAACGCAGCATGCGCACAAAACTTAAATGGTTTAAAAACATTCACTTAACCACACCGTGTGTCAGTAGCTGTGTTAGCCACCATGCTAACAGTAACATTTACCACGTGGCCATAGGCCCCGCGTGTTCAGGGACAATATCAGCCTCTTGTAAGCTTTTTATTAAACTTTAACAGTCAAATCTCACTTTATATAAATTAAATTTGACATGCTCAATTCCATACAACGTGCTGCGCCATAGACACGTTAACGGTGGGATTAATTCCGCGTGCTTTCCATCAGCTAAATCATCTCAAAACAATACTAATTAAGTTTTTACTGACTGTGTGATTTTGTTCGCTGTTTACACGAATCAGAATACGACCAACACGCTTGTTAAGGATACTCTGCATCTTACAGACTTTCTTCCTTACCAGTTCCACCACGAGCTCGTCCTCTGTGCAGCACTCGTGTTTTCTTCTTCTACTCTTTATTTGCACTCTTCTTCATAGTTTTAACTGGCGGCTAAACGACAAAATGGCCGCACTACTGCCACCAGCTGGTATGGAGTGTTTACAGGTCCGTGCCCAAAACGCAATCTTTTCATGTCAATAAAAAGGTGATTAAATATGTGGGATAACGTTCACATCTTGTCATTTTAGGCAGCTCTATCAAATCTTGTTGATTTCATTCTAATTATGGATTGCATTAGTGCTCGTCTGTCTTCCTCGTGTCTCTTTTAAAAACACAGTAGCTATGTTGGAAACGTAATAACGTCACCTAGTGGGTGGATTGGGGATTGCTGGCACTTTGTGCCCGTACAACGCCATGATACATTCATACTTTATATTAACACTTTTCCTGCGTTTTACTGCCTGGTAAATGTTAAAGGTCTTTCATATAAAATTCTCTTTGCATGAAAAATCTTTATTGGAAATTTGGCTTCGACTCCAATATAACTTGTTACCTTTGATTCAATTAACTGCCCTCCTGTACCTACATGGATTGTATTTACATATAAATTACCAGATCGTTTCCACTTTACGCTTTTAGAGAAATACAAAGTTTGTATTAACATGTGCAGTACAACAGTAGGTAAAAGATTAACACAGATGTTGTTTGAGCATTTTTACAGAATTTTTTGTCTTATTAGTAATACTAATAGTTATGTGGGGCAGCAGGTTTGTGTGATTTACTTTTGAAAGAATAAACCGGAACGTTAAAAGTCTCTATGGGAGATTTTCAAACTGGAAAAGCTGCTATACTACATTATCACCACTAGAGGGAGACAAGGAGACTGCAGTTCCATCATAGACTTAAACTGTCCTTCTTTTCTTACTGTAAATGTTTACAGAACGAGTAACCACGTTAGGAAGAAGTCATATGTCTGAAGATAATTTGTGTCCTGTGTGTGTTTATTGTGAGGAGTGCAAAGAGCTTTTATTAAACCGCCTTATTAAGTGGATGAAGATGTAGTTAATGGCTGCAACCACTAGAGGACAGTGACCGTTATAATTAACTGTATGCAAAGCAGCCATTTGACAGTCAAACCACACAACCTTTTCAGTCGTTTTCCTCATTCTGCACCAGAAGTTCAACAAAAGATCACAAATACCCTTTGACAACCTCCTAGAGGACAAATGCACAGGGAAATTGTCCATAGAAGTTTGTAGATGGACTGTTTACATCTTAGAACCAAATCAGGGTGCAGAAGCATGATAAAACTTCTCATTCAACAAAAATAAAAACCTATTTGGACACGGAATCGCAGTTACAAAATCACACAGTGACTCTTAATTATGTTAAGCGACAGATAACAGCACACCAGCCACTTATGGATTTTCAAAATGAAACATTGACATTAAATTCATAAAAAACATTACAATGGGTTTTCTATGAGTATGCTCATATCTAAAACATGCATTTTAGATAAATTGTTGTCCTTAAATTTCTATGCTGACCCATGAATGGGTCTGCCTGTGACGAGCTGATGACCCGTCATGGGTGACCCCCGCCCGGACGGCCTGTATGGCTGCATTCTAATTTGATTCTAGTTTTCAAAAACCCTGGGCGCTTGACACTAAACAGTGGAAAGGGGAGTGGGAACAGGTTTTTGCTTTAAAAAACACAGAGAACGCCGATAGACTGTGAACTCTAAATATTCACAAAGAACTCTCTGACAAACCTGAATGTCCCACAACAACCCGACATGGAGGCCTGCACGGTGAAGTTATTTATAGCACGTCTCTCCTCAGATCTCGCATGTTGACATTTTCCGTCTCTGTTATCATTCTAATTACAGGATCTCGCACTGTTGTCTCAATATCTGTCTACCATCCTTCCAGATTTAATTATAGGATCACTGGCTGAGGTCTCAGCAGTGCGACGTTCAGCCGACTAGTTATTTACGCGACGTGTTCTGGCAAAGCAGAGCTTCCTAAGCGGAGTGTTGCATGAGGCAACAGGGCGACAATGTGTTATTATGCACGACTCTTCGGGGGTCTTTGACTTTAAAGCAGCTCTGGGTTTTTTTTACGCGCACACACCGGATGTGCCCTCCAGCAGCGGAGGCAGGCCTCACAAAAGATCCCAGGGGGAACTTAGGGGGGGAGACTTAAAAAAGGGGGTTAAAGACGAGCAGAGAGGGATGAAGCTCCTCTTATTTGGGAGTCTTTGGAACTAGAACCACTGGTACAGACACATGCTGTTGGAAGAGGCCTGACCCAGCTGTCATATGACTCACCCAGAAATGAACACACACTCCACAGATCTACAAAATGACACGCCTCATTGACAAGAGGTTGGGGGGGGGGGGGGTTGAGGCGAGAGCGTGAAAGGTGGAGAGGATCCTCAACAAGTGCTGACGTCCAAACAACAGGAGGATAACAGCCCCTGCAGCTCTGTCAGTGAGAGAGAGAGAGAGAGGAGGAGATAGGTTTTGGAGGGGAGGGAGAAAGAGGGGGAGGAAAGAAAAAAAAAAAAGAAAAAAAAGGAGCCAACTGATCGGACACAAGCAGTGGGCCAAAGGAAGGGGAAGAGCGGGGAGCTGCGCCGTCCAGGAGGAGTGGAAAATCAAAGTCGCACAGGGCGAGGAGGAGCGTGGAGAGGGAACGACAGAGAGGAGAAGAGCCTGGAAGAGTGGAGAAGAGAAGGAAAGTTGTAAAGAGCCAGAGAAAAGAAGTAAAGAGGAATCAGGAGGGGCCCCACGTCTCTCAAAGAGGTGAGGATCTCCATTCAGTGGCTGAATGGTTGCATTACAGTGAGATCTGATGGAGTGACGGAGCCTCTATTTCTGTTTGTTACTATATATTTCCTCTATGCAATGTGTGTGTGTGTGTGTGTGTGTGTGTAGAGTTATGTGTGACAGATGAAAGGGGAGGGAGCGTGCACAGGATTCAACAGAGAAAGAGTTTGGCTTGTTGGAATTCCAGATGGACTCTTAAAACTCCAGTGAACACCAGCTGGGGTTGGCTGTGTTTTTATGTGTAACATTTTAAGATGCGAGCTACTTAACAGATAGTGGATTTGGAAAAACCCGGGGAGCAAATTAGCCATCTGATATGTAGGGAGAGAGAGCAGAAATCTGGAGGATGCCTGGTGGACATTGATCTGTCTTTGTGGACGGTAGGTCTTGCTTTGCGTTATGTTAGGACAGACTGAAACGTTTCTGTTTCTTATTTAGGATGAGGGAACACATGTGGAGATATAGGGCCATCTGAAAAGCACAGACAGGTTTTTACAATAAGTCACTTCATTCGACTTTCTGAAATAACATTAACATGAGTGCAGGGGAAAATCTGGGTCAACCCACCCCCATAGAGGAAGTTTAACTTGATTATAAAAGCTATGAAACCCTGATTGAAGGGCCTGTGCGACTCACAAATCGATTCCAGATGACAGATTTTCTTACAGAACGCTTGCAAAAATCCTCAAGGCCACATGTGAGGCTAAAGCGTTTCTGCTAACGTGAGTTAGCAAGTTATTAAAAAGTTTCAACACAAATCTCTCAGCTGTTACCCAACGCGTGGGGTTGAATATTGCACAATAATCCCACATCATTGGATATCAGGCGGACAAAAGGGAGCCCTCCCGCCTAAAAACATGGCCGTACCCCAACGAGAGCCAGCCAGCAGGGGGTCGGCATCTGGGAAGGAAAAGGTCAAAGGTTAAAACAGAGGCTACTCATTGTCACTGAGACCTGGTGCAGATGTGTCGGCTGCTGTATTCTATTACAAGATTTCAGCGGTGGAAGCATGAACAGAGAAGGGGAAGGAGAAGACTCAGACTCAGAGCTCTGACTTTATTCTTTTAGGCAGAGCATGTGACGCCCCTAACAGCGGGACGAGAAGGGAAATCATTGAATCTAATGGCGTGCCTTAAGGGGGCCTTTATGAGACTTGTGAGAGGCAAGAAACGAGGGCTTTGTCAGGGTGAAGTTCAACCGAAAGTGTGTGTGAACTGTCTGAGACACCAGAGGGCAAAGACATTTCACCGAAAAAGTCTCTTTTTTAAGTCAAAATGGAGCCACGTGAGCTCCGGGTAACACTCAGGGATCACAGCCCTGCTCTATGGGGATCTTCTTCTTCCTGTCATGTGCACATCTGTTCTTGGAGTGGCTGCAAAACTCAAATTGAAATAACCTTCTTGTTATATCATCACGATTATGATCCACTGGCTGTTTCTGCTCCACTTAACACACCTGTGTGCCAATGACAGAATCTTTTGGTGGACAGGCTTAAGCACAGCAGAGAGGGATCTCTAAACAGTCACTTTTCTTTAAGACTTTCCACTCCAAGTAAATAGGAGTAAGGTTGCTTTTCCTTCTCTCTAATTCCTCGGATATAAAAGCTCCCAAAGCTCACAGCATGGGAAATCAGTGACTGTGGATGACAGGATGTGTGTTGACCCCTCGGCCCCTGTTTATTTTAAGAAAGCTCATGTTGCAAATCTGGGAATGCTGGGAGAGAGTACGGCTCATGCTTTCTGCCGTTGTCAGAGCACACGATTAGCATCCTCCATTTTTGCGTACAGTACGGTCTGCCGGATCGAGTTTACTATCCAGATGCACTTCCAAAAGAAGTCCGTGTGTATTCGGGCGGGCGCACAGAGCCGTCGTTATCCAGTTCATTCACATGTGTCCCAGCTGCCGCGCTTTCTCATCCCAACTGACAACAGCGCCCTGGTCAGCTATCTGAGACCGGCTCTAATATCACAGAGCCCCAGGCCAGATCCAGATTAATGATCCCAGGACCCAGTGGAGTCCCAGTAGCTCCGTGGGACTGAAATGTACACGTTAAAAGAGCGACAAACGAACGGTTAGCGCTGAATTCCAACTGCCTGTGAGGAGATTTAGTGAGAGCAAAGGTTGGTGTCAAGATTAGGAAGGAGAGGGACACCACGGTCAGGACTAACCGCGGTCTGTTTTCATTCCCCCGCAGACGAGATGTCGACGCTGTCTTCTGAGAGCAGCCCCGAGGATGTCAACAATCGCAGCTTCTGGATGGTATGTGCACGAGGTCTGAGCGGCCTTTCAGTCAAAACAGAGCCAATAGTTTTGTCTTCCAGGGCCACGGATCATTTAAAAACAAGGCTCTGCTTTCAGCTCCCAGCATTGGTGGCAAATCTTGTCCTCTGTGAACTGCTGATCTGCTCTCCACATGCTCTCTGTGAATGTGTTTGGCTCTCTGGGGGTTTTTGAAATAGTTTTTTTTTTACTGTTCTCAGCAAAACGTCCTCAAACACGTCTGCGTGGCGACTTCGCCGGAGACGTTTTTTTCTACTCCATAATGGCTTTTCCGATATTTTCCGCCCCCTTAGAGTAGCTCCCGGTGAGAAAAACTGTGCACGCGCAGTCCGGTGTGAGTGCGCTGGCGCTTTAACAGCGGCTTTGTCTGTCGTTGGCCTCCATGAGCTGCCCCACTTTCATCTCCTGGCTCCTGTAATTTTCGGAGGCCTCCCGTTGTGTTGACGTGTTTCCAGGCCGGTTCCTGTCTGTGTCATCCTGCTGTCAGGCCCAAGGGCTGTCTGTCATTAGCCCGCAAACTTAGGCTCCTCTGTTTGGCATTTGCACAGCCGTCACGTGTTTGAGAGGTTAGCGGCCATGTCGTGGGCTGTGTGTTCAGCCTGCTGTAGATATTGATTTTAGCGATCATCTCCCTTAACACGACTAATCCGCTGTTACAGATTGGGACTTTTTTTAATCGTGTACTCTGTCGTGAAATCCACGCCCAGGTTATTCTTTGATACTACGGTTTGTAGTTTTTGCGCAGATTGTCAGGCGTAGGATTTCGGTCTCCCTCAGAGATCGACCAACTGGGTCGCTGCAGCGTTGCCGCTGGCCTCAAAGCGGATTCCTCAGCTGTTTCTGCTTAATTCGCAGACGAGAAAAAAAGGGCCGGCGCAAAACCACAACAGAGGCAGAGGGAGAGAGAGAGGGGAAACAAGTAGGGCACTGGTGTGAAGCGGCCCAACTGAGTCTGATTAGCATTAAAAAGTTACAGTGTTCAAATGAATTCGTTTAGGGGGGGGGGGACTGCCCCACAAAGGCTCTAATAGTCAGACAATAAATCACTTCTGCAGCATGGACTCACATGTTAGACACTGTACCTGCATTCAGGCCCACCATTACAGCCAGATACCATTTACAGTCTTTAAAATGAAAGCATAAAATCTTTATTATGAGTGGGGCAAGTTAGAAAATAATTATTTATAGATGCTAAAAGAAAGAAACAAAAAGCAAACATGTAAGAAGATGAATAATCGATTTTCAGAAATCATTTTCTATTGAAGATGCCCGGACCTTCATTCATCCGGTGCACGTTGCAGGAAGCATTTTCTGAACGTGTTCCCAACATTTCTTCTTTTTGACGTGCCTGCATTTAATTAGTAAAGAGTCCCCTCAGGATCAGACATCAAAAGAGAAACAAAGTGTGCTCGTGGTTAAGAGAAAGCACTTGGTAGTGCAAATAATAATTTATCATCTTATAGAGCATCTGACAAAAAAAAAAAAAACATTTAAAGGAGAGAAATTAGGGCTTGTGGTTGACACTGTCAGGGGGGTTTACCGCAGACAGTTGTCAACACGCATGTGACACGAATAAAAACTGGCATGGTCCCTGTGAACTGCTTTCATGGAGTCGATATCTCAGCTTGTAGAACAGCGCCGACTCGAGCTCCGTCTTTGATGTTTCCGAGTCTGTCTTGCCGATTAAAAATTTAAAAAGGTCAGCTCGGAGGAGTTTACTCCGTCTCGTTACTCAGCGGGGATTTCACATGAAGCAGATTGCTTGAAGTGATTTAACAAAGCATGACAAGACAGTGTGCGGTGTCTCTGTGACCAGCTGTCTACACGTGTCAGGCCCTCACGGATCTGACAGAAAGAGAGGAGCGGGAGCGGGAGGGACTGGTGGAGCGGGGCCAGGAAAATTGCGGAGATTTCCAAATTCCACATCCACAAACAACACGCGTGCTTTTTGAATCTGCTTTAGCATTCAGGGCCCTCTCGGCCTCCCCTCAGCAGACTCATGGCGGCCCACCGCTGGTCAGCAGGTTTACCACAGGAAACCTAACCCCTGTGGGGGGGGCCGAGAGCCCACCTGACACTGCTGCTGCAGGATCCCAGCTGTGCAACAAGGAGGGGCCAACGCTAACCGTGCACTTATTCCAGCCAGAGTGTTAGGAGAAGCAGCAGAGCAGATAAAGAACAACTCAAAATGGCCAAAAAAGAGACCCTGTTCCTCTTAGCACAGCAGCTCCAGCACTTAGTATCCTGCATTGATCTCTGGCAGGGTTAACTGTGAATTAAACAAAAGAATGGTTTGACGTTTTAGAAGAAGTTCTGGCCGAGTTGGCTGGAAATCGATCCGTATCTGGGACATAAAGACGTGAAGTGGCTGGCGTCAGCTCCCGGTTAGATTAGCTTAGTTTAGCATGATAAATTAATTTAGGAGCAGCCAGGAAACAACAAGTAACCGGCCTCTTTTTCACTCATTCGTCGTGATTTCAATATCAGCTCTGAGAATGATATGTTTTATTAAGCTGGTCATTTTTTGAAGGTTTGTGGTTGGTAAAATAACCTTTTCTGGTTCTCATTCACATACTTTCCTCTTTTTATGTGTATGCACGTAGATAGATAACCCTAACCCAAAGAATACTTACTTTTTGATAGTCGGAGGGTCTTTAATTTAGGAAAATTAAGTCCTAACTTTTATTTTCGCTTTCTGTTTTATTTAGCTGTGGCTTTCTTTGTGGTTGAGTAAACTGCAATTTTGAACAAAGTGGAAAGTATTTTAGTGGTAGCCATAAAAGGCCTGATTGGATTGTTTAAATGCGAAGGACCCGAGTGCTTGTGTTCCCTTTAAGATTTCCTTTTAAATGGGACACACTCAGAGATAGGAGATGCTCAGTTATCGCCATCTAGTCGTACGCTCTGTGGATGAGGTTTAAGTGTGAGAAAAATGTCTGTGAAAACATGTCTTTCATTCAAAATTATGAACCCTGGTAATAAGGAAAAGCTCTGGCTTATCTCTAAGATTGATTAATGAAGGATCTGAAGCATTTTTGTGGGCACAGAGCAGCATCATCACATAACAGCTTTGAGTTCATGTGAATGAATTGGCATTTTCCAATGAGGTCAAGGAAAAGAGTACAGGATGGACAACAGGAGGTCATTTCTTTTAACACTGCGAGCAGCCCCCAGATCCTCAGGCCTTCTTTGGTCTCCGTACTGAGTAGAGCCCAGCTCTACATCACAGGAACAGTCAAACAGGAAGTGTATGAAAGGAGTTTCTTTTTTATGTGAAAGCAGCTAATGGGCAAAAGGGTTTAAACAGTCATCTCCATCTTCAGCAGAGTTTATGGTGATTTATGTCAAAGTGAGCTGGGTTCCAGCTGTTGTTAGTATTAAAAGTGTGATATTGTTTATCGGAATATACTTTGTGATTTAAGCCAGATGTTATTTAAATTTGTTTCTGAACGCTGTGCGCTTACTTCCTGGTTCTGAAAGTTATTTCCAATTAGGTAGAAATTTCTATTAGCACATCATTTACATTCTTTGTTTTTTATGAACCCACATTTTAAACACAGAAAAGTAACAGAGCCAAAAGCAGTAACGCAACTCATACTATGGCTTTGTTTGTTATGTCAGTAATAATTTTGTTAGTGAAACTTCACATGCAAGCTCTACTGTAAACATAAGTCTTTGTGTGAGTTTTAATCGATTTAACAGTAGTGGAATTTTTTTTAACATCAAAATTGGTTTGTTTAATTTCTGCTGAATACCGAAAATAAAGAAAGCAAAAGAAAAAAAAAGACTTGAAATGACAAACTGAAAGTTAGAAGAGAATCTGAGCGTTCTGACCTCCCCTCCTCACCTCTGGGTTTATTCCCATCTCTGTTGCCTGTTGGCAGCCTGGGAACTATCAGCGCACGGTGAGGCGCACGGAGGATTCCTTCCAGGCCTGCAACGACATCGTGGCGTGCTTCCAGGAGAGGGCCCGCGTGGAGAGGCAGTACGCCCAGCAGCTCAGCGAGTGGAGCAACAAGTGGAAACCAGTTGTGGACTCCAGTAAGTGTCTTAACCGCAATGCCAGCAACCAATATGGAAGCTTGGGGGCTCAACACAAACCCTTTTTTCCCCAAACGCCTCTTCCTCAGGTCCTCTGTACGGCTCTCTTCTGAAGGCCTGGCAGTGTTTCCTGTCCTCCGCTGACCGGCTGGCCTCCTTACACGCCTCCATCTGCCGCTCCCTGGTGTCGGAAGACGGGGACCGGGTCAGGACCTGGCAGAAGGACACCTTTCACAAGAAGTTGTTCGGAGGCTTCAAGGAGTCCCAGGACATCGAGACGGGGTTCGCACGCGCTCAGAAGCCCTGGGCCAAACGGCTGAAAAAGGTCAGCCGGGGTCAGAAGGGACGGGCACTTTCTGACCAGTTCCGGTCGTGCGGATTTAAGAAAGACACGCTTCCTTCCTCCTGCTGTCACACTGTAACGGATGCAGCCGTCATTCTTTAATCTTTCCACACAAAGTAAAACATGCTCAATTTTTTTGGTTTTTTTCAGAGACACTCTAAAAAAAATACTTTCTATGTAACAAATGAGGTAAAAATTAATCATGACAAATGTTTTTATTTACTTCATAATAAGCAAAACACTGGAAATTACAGCTTTCAAACCCAATACTCTGAGTGTAAATGCTAGGTTTAAGATAAGATAAGATAAGATAAGATAAGATAAGAGCTTTATTGATCTCACAGTGGAGAAATTCACTGGTCACACATCGGTTAGAGTTCAAAAGGAGGAAAAGGTGCATAAAGTACAGCAAAAACAAACAAATATACAAGGAAGCAACACAGCGCAGAGATTTGAGTGATCTGTTGTATTTGTTGGTTTTCCCACCCCCTTCTGGACAGAATATAAGGCTTTTGTGCACTCAGAAGAGGAGGTTTATTTCTCTCAGTGAAGATTATACCAGATGCCATCTAAAATAGGGTAACTCCCTTCGGGCTTGTTTTTTTACAAGCCCTTGTTAGAATGGTCTCAGATTCTCATTAATATTCTCCCACATATCCACCAAGTATTACTACCGCCACAGACACGGCGTTTGCTGTTTGCTTTTGGGAGCATTTCCCCGCCACATTCCCAGCTCACATTTTCCCGTCTGATCTGAGGCCTCGGCGACCTGAACAGAGACCTCTGGTCCTCCCAGCTTTTCCAGAGATTCCCATAAGCGTTTAAAGCGATGAGCCGCGGGAGTCTAGAGAGCGGCTCCAACCACCGGAGCGAGAACAAATGTGGAGATCCACCTGAGGCATAATTACATGCTCTAAATTATACTCAAGCCCCTACGGAAATCAATGTCATATGTCCAAGATGCGGTTGAAGCATCGCAACTGAGAATTAACTGAATAAATGACCTCATTTAAATGTCAATATAAAGAAAATTAGAGCTTCATGCTTTTCTCTGTAGGAATTTGCTCATTCAATATGATGTTTCCAAAGACAAATCCATCTTAGTTTTAATGATTTTGAGTATCTTTAAGAGTTGATTGCGTGGTGGTTGATCTGTTTGTTGCAAATTGATTTTTATTTCCCCGCTACAGTCTGTTAAACTCAGCCTTTGGATTATTTCCGGTCTGTCCACAGCTGGACAAAGCCAGGAGGGCTTATCACAAAGTGAGCCGCAAGGAGCAGGCAGCCAGGGAGCGAGAGGCGCACGCTCAGGGAAACCCGGACGTGGCCATCGACAAACAGAAGAAGATCCAGGAGGAGAGAGAGGTGGCTCAACAGGAGGCCGAGAAGGTGAGCTGGGCACGGCGCCATTTTTTAAAATCTTCACTGTTAATGGTAATGTTAATCAGAATCAGAATCAATGTTAATCAGAATTTATTTCACCAGTTTATTTTGTTTCGTGAGAAATTACACAAACAAGGTGGAAAAACATTATTCTTACTATATTTTAATGAATTCTCTGCAAACCTAACAAATCTTCACCGAAAATCTATAAAATCAAGACAAATATGCGGTTCTCGGACGATAAACTCTGGAAATGACTGATGCTCAATAGAGAAAGCAAGCGATCTGTTAATTGTACAGTTCGTGGTTCCATCAGTGGCTCATAATGAACATCAAAATCAATCCTGATGGACGGGCCAGTGCCCGGTCACCATCGAGCATAATGAGGCACAACTCCGGCTCCTTTATAGGATTAAAAAGTACTTTAAGAGTAAAGTATATTGCCAATTGTTTTTATCATTCATTCTCTCCTTTTTCCAGCAACAGATATTTCAAAACCATAATACAGTAAGAAGAAAATTTTATTTTCTATTATTATGTAATAGCTTTGCTCAATAAACGATGATTTTAACACATTAATATGCACAATTTCTGTGTATATTATGTCTTAGGCCTTTCTAAATGGCCATATTACAGCCAGAAAATGACCATTTAAAAAGTGCCAGGCAAAAAGACAGCTGCTGTAGATTCTGGTTTGGGAAAAATTTGATATTATGCATCTGACAAATGGCTGTTTTTTCGGGAATGCAAAAGCAAGCAGAACTCAGTGTTGTCATAAAAGTACTTAATCAATGAGTGAATCCACGTAAAGATGGGACAAGATGGAAAAAGAGGATAGTGGCTGTTCTTATATGAAGTTGGAGTGATACTTAGGTTGATTTTAGCCTGTGGATACACATGACTTGACATTGCTAGTAGATGGATTTCAGTTCTTTGCTTCTTCATCTTGATCCTGAGTTCAAATGAGGGCAAAATGATCAGAAAGAGACGAGAAACCAGGAACTCAAGAGGAACCAAAATAATTTATAAAATACAACAGGGCTTGAGGGACAAAACCAAAATCCTGGAGGCTACAAATACATAAAGCCCTAGAAATATGGGAGCAAAGATGAGGAGACTCTGGGGAAGAAGAGGAAGAAGCAAAAATGAAGCAATAATCTGACACTGAGTGAAGAAAAAGCAGAGGCTTAAATACAGCTGAGAACAGGGGACGCAGGTGGGGAGGGTGGAGATAATAAAAAGAGAAGGAGGATAATGGAGGAAAGTGAAGGTTAAGATACAGGAGGGCACAGAAAACAGGGAACCTCAAGCATAAACAGAACAAAGGAACATGAAAACAAGAGAAAACCTTGAAAAGAAACCAAAAGAAACAGTGACTGGTCCTTTAAGCATGAAACTATTTCTCCAAAACTAGAGAAAATCATTTCAATTCTGGGATTCAGACCATCTGAGTCAGACCATTGACTCTTTTGGGAAAGAAGGACCAAGCCCAGAATCAGCTCTGGACCACTTTGCTGTGTTCTAATGATGTGTTCAAACCTCTTTCAGGCACACATGGCAAATTTTCTATTTCCTGTTATATGAATGCGATTTAAGTGGTGCCACCTGTGCTGGAAAACCAAACTTCATCTGAACTGATTCTGGAAATTTGATGAAAATGAAAGTGTATTTCCGTGAAGATTGTGAGACTTTTTTCTAAAAGAATTAAAAAAAGAAACTCTGTTGTGCTCTGAAATGTCTGCAGGTCCGTGTCCGCTATGAGAAGGTCCTGGAGGAGGTGAACCGCTATGCTCCTCGCTACATGGAGGAGATGGAGTCCATCTTCGACCAGTCACAGGACGAGGAGCGGAAGAGGATCGTCTTCCTCAAACAGGCCCTCCTCTCCATCCACAAGCACCTGGACGTTACCAACGACGAGAGGTGAGAATATGGGGCATGCTGCTCCCTCTGATGGTGGGAAGAATGGCCAGAAACTACTTATTCCATTTGTAATCTTCTGAGCCCGGGCCTGGCTGCATTATTGATTAAAATCAATAATCTCACTTATTCAACCTTAATCAAAAGTCTCTCTCTGCACATTAGCACACGAGTGCTGCAGTGATCCACAGCTACTCTGGTAAAGGAAACAACAGATAAGGCAGCGGCTTAATTAGTTTGTAAGAACCACCAGGGGATACGGGGAGATGAGAGGAATTATATACTCTATTAAACCTCTTCATTTTGGGGTAAAACTTTACATAAAATTTCCTGGATGGCTGTTCATGCACATTATTTGGCAATTACGAGTATAAATAAGCTTTAGAATCATTCCGATGTCACAGTTCAAACTAAGTAAACACCCCCATTTGAATAACACATCACTTAAAAGGACCAAAACGTGCAACAACTGCATGTTTGAGTTTTTTACAGCATCACTTTAAACAAAATGGCTACATTTTTCATGTTATAGTGTAATTGCTTTCACGTTTTACACTCTTAAACATAAAAAGCTATTGGGTTTGACCACACAGAGTGTCCTTTTCTTCCTCCAGTGAGTGTTTACTGCTGTTTAGCCGGGTTAATTCCTCCAAAAGGAGTAACAAAAAGCCAAGAGAGATCTGTTCTTATTTTTGAATGATCTCTCCTTTAGTGTGAGAGCCGTGTACAGCGAACTCCACAACACTCTGATGGCCATCGACGAGCAAGAGGACCTCCGCTGGTGGAAGAACACTCATGGGCCCGGCATGCCGACCGACTGGCCCCACTTCCAGGTATTTGTCCTTTTCTAAACACAAAATCTGAGTCGTTTTTTTTTTTTTGCATGTAAACGTGCCTCTACTCCCATGATTGTCAGGAGTGGACGCCTGAAAAGAAAGCCAAAAAAGGGAAGAAAGAAGTGGAAAAGAAGGAAGCAATAGAGAGAAGGTGAGTTGACGAAGGTGCTTTTGCTTAAGGGTCCTCTCCGTAAGCCTTAAAATGGATCTTAACTAAACATCCTTTGGAATACAAGCCCCCTTATTTGAAGGATGGAGGAGTAAAGTGGCTCTCCAGATAAACTACAGGAAGAATCATCTGTGAAATGAAGTGCCTCGCAGTTCTTTATCTGTGAGTCGGATTGGACTGGTTCGTTACTTATCTGGTTTCGGGCAGCTCTCCCGCCTGAAGCGGATCTGTAACCAATCAGAATTAGACGTATAATCACAGTTCCATCTCTGAGCTTTATGCACTGTTAATGATCAGCGAACCCCCTTCATTCTGAACAGGGGCAGGTTATGAAAGTCTGGTTCATAAAGAGGAGAAATCAAAGAAGTGGCAACAATAATCTTGTTCATCAAAAAAATTCCCGTCGAAAGATTTTTGCATGAGAAAAGGTTGATAGAAATGGTTAAATTCAAAAGCACCTCATCAGTTCTGCTCAACTGAATCACCATCAGCTATAAAAAATCTCAGTTTTTCCCTTTTACATTAAACTCAGGTCCTTTATTTATTCATCTTCGCTGCTTTGCTTTATTTATGATTTATTTATTTATCTTTGATGCTTTCCACATCAGTTCGGGGGACGTGTCTAGTGCAGATTTTTTTTCTGCCGTAACCATCGAATACTCCCTGTTTGATTACTTAGATTTTTAAAAAAGCAGGGCCTGTCTTTTCTTTAACTGCATGCAGCTAAATGCACAGATTATGATCCTGAAATAATTCAATTGCACATTCATATATTTCATGTTGTGCTGTGTCTCCTGTCTTTCTCTTTTGCCATCCAGTGTGATGATTGGAGGAGTGAAAGTCAGAGCTTTGTATGATTATGCAGGCCAGGAGACCGATGAGCTGTCCTTTAAAGCAGGTAAACCGCGAAATCATATTTCTGTGCAAAGGGTTACTAAAAAAAAAGTGCCGCTTTATGGAGTGAAGTGTCTCTTCCTCCCTGCAGGCGAAGAGTTTCTGAAGATCGAGGATGAGGATGACCAGGGCTGGTGTCGGGGGATGAAGGATGATGGGTGGGAGGGGCTGTACCCCGCCAACTACGTCGAGGTGGTATAGGGTCTGTAGGAATAATGAATACGTCAAGTACGGATGCATCAAACGCTTCATTTTGCAGCTTGATTAAACGTCTAACTGTCAGAAAGATTAAGCAGTGCTGTAAAAATCACCACCGTTAGCCAAAGAGAGGAGAGCGATCCCAGCTGTGGGAGGTTTAAAAAACTAACCAGGTTTTTTTTTTTATCTCTGAGGAGGCTTTTGAAAAAAAATGTTTTAATATATACGGCATGCGTAAACCACTTGTATCAAAGCCACATGTCTACGATGCTTTAATGTAAGAAAAATAACCATATGCTGGAATCTAAAGGTACAATAACACATTTGGTGCTGAAAATGACTCACAGGAATGCAGTTTTTTACCTTTCTTTTTGTCACCAAGCTTTTGTATAGATAAAAAAAGATCCCCCACATGGGAGAAAATGCTAAAACCGACACACACCCTTGAGTCCCTGGCACTTTAGTTTGCACCCTTTCAATGTTTAAAGGGATTTTTAACCAAAACACTTCAAATCTAATCTTCTCGACCTAATTGATTTGACCTAAAAGGTGAAATTCATATAGTTTATGATAAACCCTGAGAGAAAATACTCAACCCTGAAGCTTTTACTGAGCTTTACTCCAACACTTACAATCATCCTCACTTGTGCTGTTTGAGACTAAATTCAGGACACTCCTGCAAATGGATTGCTCTTGAAAATAGTCAGGAGGCTGTCAGCTGTCCTCCAAACACTGTTATTACTATCATTATTGTTAACAAATGAGGTACCCCAAATGAAATCCACATATCACATGTATTCCTTTTTGCCTGACTCTCTGTTGGGCCATCGTAGTAAACATCAGAGAGTAATTTGGACTTGATGAATAAATGATGGTCATTTCCCACAGGTTTGACAACAAAGAATATCATAGGTTGTTCCCGATGGCCATTAAAAACGTTCATTTTAAAGCATTCTTTTATGTAAAAGTGTAAAAGTGAGGTGAGGTCCTGCTTTTCACATTTGGACGGGTTGCTGAGTCCCCCCCCCCCCGTTTCCTGTCCGTAGATGCAAACTGAGCAGGCAGATTCTTTTCCAATTTGGTGTCAACCAACACCAACAGGGGGGTCTTTCCGGGAAGGAGGGTCCGGGTTAAAACATGTCAGGGACGAGATGTTATCTCTGTACTTGACGTTTGGAGATGGAATGGATAAGAGCTGTCTGCATCTGATCCGTTGTCGTATACCTCAGCTGGTCACGCTGTTCTGTGAGATAAGCCCGGGGGAGCAAAAAGGTTTTTTTTCCTGTGTTTTCAAACTATGTGTTGCTAGGTTTTCTTATACCTGTTAGAGAAAGCAGATTTACCAAAGCAAGAAGCCAGCTTCTAGGAAATGTCATGTTTGGAGCCTTCCTTCATATCCTGCTGCGCTATGGCTTTATTTGTTATGTAAAAACTATGAATGTGCAAACTCTTTTTCTTTTGGAAATAAACTTTGAAGCTCACAACGAAACCTGGCGGCTGAGTTTCATATGTAAGCGATGACAGAAAGAGACGGAGTAAAGTGGGAGAGTGTGTAATTTAGCCCGTGAATCACCGCGCCGTTGGCCGGCACTCGCACAACACTCACTTAAAAGCCACATGTTCATGTCTGGGGATTTGGGCTAAGGTCAAACGTTGTTCTCTATCCCCATGACTCGGCCGCAGAATCAGATGTGCACTGACATCAGCGCATGGCCGCCGTCCAAACAACCTGCTCACTGCAATGTGGAGGGAAGCAAAAAAGACAGATCCTGGTGGAGTTACGCATAGCTCACACACACACAGACACACACAGACACACTGTTGTTGTGAATTCAAGCTGAAGAGAAGGCAGGAATGTGTGTTTCCACAGAGGTAACGGGATGATGATTTCACCCTGGAAGGAATTTGATCTGATGACAGTTTTGTTGCTTTCTGCAGACAGCTTTGACTGTCTCCTCTCGGCTGCTTGAAATATTTCCTGAAAAACAACACATATCTTGAAAAGTGCTTATATCTATTGCTTTTTATATAGAAAGGTATATAATATCCATCCATTACCGTAACCACTTATTCCCTAATGGAGTCGCGGGTGGTATTTAATATTCTGGTTCTAATAGCTTTTAATACAGTCTGTATTGATGAAGAAATTGTGAAGTGATCGGTTGCTTGGCAACATGCAAACTGCAGCATAGGTTCATCATATTTTTCTTTAAACATTGATTTTTTTCTGTGATGATAGATGTAAAAACATAAATTATTTCACCCCACCGACCCCGTTCCCCCTTTGACACAACAAAACACTTTCAATATTGATTATGATATTTTTAATCATATGTGTGCATACATGTCTATTCGTGTGTATATCCACAACTTTCCGGATCACTGAAAAATGCATGGATATTTCACACCACAAAAAAGTGGCTTACACAAAAAAAGCCCCAATAAGCTGATGCCTAGATTAGTTAAAAAATGATGAAGAATGATGAATAATTCTTTCCATTACTGAGGGGAGCTGCTGCCTTTCGGTAGGCCGACCACATTGATCAGCAAATCGTCATTGTGTCTTTACCATGTGTTTTAAGAGATTTATATAATATACCGTACTACTGAGTTTGGCCCTCTAACAGCAGCAGAAACTCTGTGAAAATCAAACATTTTAAAAACCAAATGTAGAGTAAAATGAGCTTTTATAAGCTGAGTAGTATCTAAAATCACAACTAGTGAATATCAACAGGATATCAGAAAAAGTTCCCCCACTGATCAGATCTTCTTGAATTCCAAAAGACTTCCCACTGTGAGCAAAGCCCCTGGTGTCACAGTCACTTTTGGTGAGTCACCCTTTATCTAGTTTACAACAAGCAAAAGAAAACATTTATGGAAAATGATAAAAAGCCGGCGCATGACTGAGTGGCCGCCAGCTCTGTTACAAACAAGTCTGCCTGGTGTCTGGCACCGGTCCACCCAAGCCTTCAAAACCAAATGGTTGTGTATAATAAAAGTATCCCGCCGCCCAGGGCGATCACGCTCGTTTCAGAAGAAATGCGGCTTTCCAGGTTGTTACTTCAGACTGTTATGGTAGAAGCAGCCTTTGCTCATGCTTTGATTAAATAAAAAGTCTGACATCCAAAATGAAAGGAGACAACTAATGTGTGAGTCATGGGCTCCCACCAGACGCTCCGTTTGTTATCTTCACGGGGGGGCCACTTTGGACACAACACAGAAGCTTGAAACTTGATCTGAATCCAGGTCTTAGTCTCTTCTTCTATCCCATAGGACGAGATGTTGGTTCTGCTGTTTAATAAGGGAACAAGAAGGATGGTCAGCACAGTTCCGTGGTTTGTGTATCATCCAGCTTCTTTTAGTCTAACAATCTCTCCAGAAGATCCTCTCTGACCTCCTCTTCATCGGTCACGCTTCCCAGACGAAAAGCGGCCACCTTCCACCAAACCCCCGTGTTGAACTCTGCTCGTTTCAACTCATTAGCTTTTGATTATTTCGTGCCGGAGGTACAATGTAAACACGCGGCCATTAACAGACGCTTGTTTGTCAGGACAATGATGAGTGGAAGCGCCCTCATTTACATGCTAATAGCCTCATGATATTCAATGTGATGTTGCCGGGCTCTCAAAATACAAAAACGCTCCACGGCGCCTAGCTTTTTCATTTCACTGAGGTCAACGTGTGAACACCCACTCTCAGAAAAACAGATGGCCGACCCGGGAGGCCTGACCTCATTCACCGTGCAGGATCCACAGTTGTTTGTTCACGCGTATGCATTACTATTCATGTGGTTCAACCATCAGTGAATCCATCGCTAAAGACACAGCTTACGGAGGGTATGTTTCCAGCATGGAGGCATGTCGGCTTACTCGCTTGATGTTCATGCGACTCTCAGCAGAGGGAGCTAAGAGATCAGCTCGGAAGGCTTCGGCGGGCACGTCAGCCGGAGAAAAATGCTCGCCGGGTTGCCGGCGTAATGGGAAAATGTCTTTATTCCTTCATCTGTCATGCGGTGACAGGCAGAACTTTGGGTTGCCATGGAGAGCCTTTGCTGAAATGGGGCCTTAATTAACAGAACCACGCAACTCGGTTCGATGGCTCACCGCGCTCAGAGAAGTTAATGAGGAAATCACGCAGATCCTCAAAGGAAAATGACTCCGTATGTGTGCGGCGTGTACATATATCAAGTGTCTGGAATCACATTGTGGGAGTTGGGGGCGACGCACGCTGTTGAACATGTGGAATACCATCCAAAACCGTGGGTTTTACGAGATGGTACGCACGCTTAAGATGATGTTTCTGATGAGGAAATATCTACCCTCACTCCCAAGCAGATGCTTATTTTGCTCGTCGAGCGTCCGTAGCTCCTCCCACCCACCCCACAAAACCCAATCCCTTCCTCTCTGTTTCTTTTCTCGTTGCTCTCTATAAGCCCGGGTTGCCCTGGGGAGGCTCCCGTCACAGTTCAAGTTCAACAGTGGGCCCGCTCAGGGGTTTCTCAGGGAGGAAAAACCACCTGCACACCTGCCAGAGGCACTTCAGCACAGAGAGCCTCTCGCAATTTGTCTCAAGGATGTCTGGAAAAATCCCGCTTGGCTCTCACGCTCAACAACAACGCGGAGGCCACGGCCGGCGGATGCTCCCCCCCGGAAACGCAGAGCACCAAAGGTGGGAAGGACACAGAACAGGACCCGTCCCGCAGCGGTCAAGCACGCCAGGCAAACAGGGACAGACGTATGCTGCCCAAAAAATAATGAGCAATCAAGAAAATGGCTATTCTCACATTTCAATTAGCCTAATTACAGAGAGGGCCAGCGGGCTACTCAGAAGAATGGGCGAGCTCCACAGAACTGTGCGCGCGTCCGTAGGTGTGTGTCTGAATATATAAGTTAGATAGAGCGAGAGGCTCTCCAAGGGGTTCAGCTGGAACACTGCATCAGCACTCAGAGTGAGAAATTAACCGTTTGCTTTCCTTCCCATCCACAGCCCCGGAGCGCGAAACACGCGATACGGTCAGTGAACCCACCGCCGTCCCACAGCCTCTCCATCAACGCGTCATTAACTATTCATATCCGTAATCAGGAGGTGGGGGGAAAATCGTCAGGTAATTCACTTTATGTGACAGTATTGGACAACGGCGTGCGAGCGGCTGCCTGTTTCCGAGCCGGAGGACACGGCATCTGCTCGCGGCTCTATTTTTATCACGTGAAGGAAAAGAAGAGGCCGGCATTGAGTGGGTTAACCGTAGGTTCAGCATCCAGCCTGACAGTGAGAGCCAGATGGTCATGTAGAGCACTTCCAGTGACATGGGCCTACACAGCTCCCTCTGCTGGAACACACACACACACACACACACACACATATACACAATCCCATGCACACACACAGGCCTAATTTGCATGCAAACACACACCAGAACATCCCTTGAAGATAACAGCGCCTTGGATTCCCAGGTCATTTAACCAGCCCCCGTTCCCCACAGCCCTAAACTCCCTTCCTCCCTTCTCTCACTTCCCCCTCGCTCCTCCTCTTCTTATTTCCCCTCGGTTTCAGTCGGATGGCCAGAGTTAATTGGCTGCTGTCTAATTGCTGCTCATTAGCTGGAGTAACCAAACATGTGAAACGTAGCAAACAGCCCTTGCTCTCGCTCGGCTCGGCGCTGCGCTTTGGCAATTCCCACTCCAATGCCCCCCCCCCCCGCATCCCTTCGTCAGATGGTGTTCTGCGTGCTACCTGCCTTTGTTTTCACTTCGTCTTAAAAACAGAGCAAAGACTAATGGATAGCCAGCTTTATGCCATGCAAAAAAAACACAATTTTCAAATAAAGCCGTCGATATGGAGGTTAATATCGGGGTTCTGGTGGTTCCAGAGGTGCATCTTTTCCGCATTACCAGGAGGCCGCTGTAGCTGCTGCCCTTCTTTCTGGCTCTCTACGCTCTCTGCATGTGTACGACATGTGCAGACAAACTAATACACGCCCACTCGTCAAAAAAAGAGAAAAAGATGTGCATAATCTTACACACATCCTAGA